GCGAGAACCTTTAAAGTTGCCAAGTCCGTGTTCTTGCACAATTTCTGCAGGCCTGGCCAGCCCAGATACATGTGTTATACCATTTCGGCCACTTCGGTCGAGAATGCCATTTTGTGGGCGAAATGTGAGGGTCATTCTAAAGCAAGAAGTATCCAAAATGAGCAAGAAAGTTTTAGTTAGGTGGACATACTCCAAAGTTCATTGCAATATTGCACATGATTTGGGAGGCTTGATTTATCTTCACGCTTGGACGTAATGAATATGTCGATGATGGGATAGATACATGATATGCTGGGGACTAGGAATAATGTACTATCATATCGGCTGTTAAGAAACTAAGGCTACCACGGGGTATTTTGGTTTTCCATTTTGGCCTTCCTTTATGTTCCTCATCGAGCTTTGACGGGAGAAGGATGGGTCTTACGAATGGAGTGTTAAAATATTCGCGGGTATGTAGAGGTTCGGTGTTCAAGGTTGTTCTGCCTTCTACATATATGTTTAGTACAGACCGTTTCAATTTGATGTTGATTCCCTGGCCCTTCAGCATTCCGCTGAACGTCGAAATCCAGAACAAAGGTTCTCCTGTAGTCACCTGAGGCAAAAATGTTTCGGATTCTATAGCAGCACGAGCCGCCAGGGTGTCAATCGCGCCGCTAGGGCCCGAAGTTAGATAACAGCGGACCCTTAGGCTGCTTTCATAGTCCGCCGGCCGGTCCGCGAGCGAGCGAGCGCGCGCGCCGGCCTGTGGACTACTAGGCTCGCGGTATCGATCAAGATTCAGTTGTAAACAAGGAGCAAGCGCCATCCCTCCTAATTTTTGCTATTTTACTTCCTTGTCAGGGGTAAACCGCCTTCAAACGAGAATCCTTACTAATATAAACCACAAATGTCCGTTTTTCTGTATGTTTGTATGTTTGTATGTCTGTTTCACTGTAACTATCTTATCACTATCACTGTATTTAGGGAGTCGAAACACGTGGAACAGCTCAGACAGGTTGGAACAAGTGGGAACTGGGGATGAACAAGTGGAAAATGAGCCAAACTCCTTGGGTACACGTGATCTAAGCTAGGCTCCGTCCACTGGGGGCGGGCTTGCGCAAATAGTGTAGCTCACCGGAAATCTGTAACTCCTTTGCTCCTCAGCCTAGAGTATTCAAATTTGTCAGAGATGTAGGTGGCAAGATGGGAAAACTAATGGTAGGTGGCAGGTGCAGACTCCGTCCACTAGGGCGGGGCTTCCTCAAAAAAGTCAAATTGGACTTGGGTCATTCGAATTTGGCAGAGATGCAGGTGGCAAGATGGGAAAACTAATATCAGGTGACAGGCGTAGATTCCACCCACAGGGGGGGGGGGCTACCTCAAAACAGTCAATTTGGATCTGATTTGAATTTTTCAAGAAAGGTAAGTACATTGATAGGGACCGATTATGGAATTTGGTTAACTTCTTGCTTACGACCACTACACAGCGAAGCATGCGATTCAATGAATTATCACGGTTTCTCTCTGCATTGTTATCATTTATGTCAAAGTTTATCCGACTGCTAATAATATTGGATTCTTACTTAATGATGTTTCAGTAGATAAAAGCAGCTACATTCATAAAGATATTTGATAATGGTATTATTATGACTCGACAACATTTGAGTNACACTGAATATTGTTGTTTCGTATTTTGAATATCGTTTGCATGCCCTATTGTTCTTCTATCGAACTTCGTTTCCGAAGTAAAAGTATCATTCGTTCCAAAGAAGTAGTGTGCTGTTTGCCATTTCTCACGACTCTATCATAAGAAGGAGCGGAGCCCGTCGTTAGCCGGGCGATCCCACGGTCTCTATATATAAAACGGTAACTTTGTGTGCCTGTTTGTGGGTCTGTTTGTGCGTCTTTCTGGAAGTCACTTATGCACTATGAAGAGTGTGAATGTTACGTGAGCGCGGTGGGGAAGCAATCATGAAATGGGAAGTCAATCGATAAAGTTCATATGAGTCCTCTAACAAGTCGTAGGTAAGCGGTAGTGAGCATGTGGTGCACGCATTGGCGTGCGTAGCCTAACTGGTAATGCAATATATTGAGAAGTCTTTCCCCGCATATCTCGCAAGATATCGCGCGTCGCCCATTATCAAAGGAGAAAGCACTAATCTCATCACCGGCGATTTTGTACCAGCCCAAGTTCAGAATTTTCTGTTCAGCTTTGTTCAAAAGAGGGGAAATTCGTACGAACGGGATAAGGCATAATAAACCCACTTCCCACCATCCTATTCCGTATTCTCAGGCCGACTGTAGATGCTAACTTTGGCAATTCATTTTACCATATCGTCCTGATGCTTCTGTGAAATAGTCCCTGCCGCTACAAGTGAAGAATTCAGTAAGAAATAGTATTTGACACTGAAACCAGTTCCAGAATGGATACTTCAGTACCATCCACATGCATCGTACTATTGTCAAGCTATCACTCTCGGGTGCGCTTGTTGCGCGCGTTCGTAAAAACTAGGTCACGCCGCAGCCATCGCATGCGGTGGGTCAGCCTGCGATCTTTGACAAACGTCGCGGTTTTCAGCGGGGCGCACGAATTGCGCTCAGTCCACGACAGTGAGCCAAAGAGAAGATAACACGCACAAATGCAAAACATTCGCTCCACCGACACTTGGTGGTACTGTAGTGTCGTCTCGAGACCTCAGAGGGGTGCGCCGCGCGCGAAGTGTGACCTACTTCCAACGAACGCGCGCAACGGACGTTCTCCATCATTCTCTATCACGAAGGTAGTAGAGAGGTAGTTTCATCGTCGTACACTGTTCCATGAAATAAGCAAGCTGTTTCTTTCTTTACTCATATTTTCATTAGTAAATACGTTTGCAGCAGATCCATCAAGGACAATTTTACAAATGTTTGAATATTAGAAGGATCTGTTGTTAGAGCCACATATGGGGCTGTTAGAGAAGTCGATTGGCTAAGGTTTCCGCGAATTGCCTTCTTCGCAGCCTGAAAAAAAGCGAAACCAATTTACGAGTCATTAAAAATTTCCTTATTATTTTAGGACTTTCTGTATTACCAACACAACTATCAAGAACTTCTCTCACAGGTGCAAGAAGATTTTGTAAGAATTAGCTCAGATCAAAAGCCTGTTTTGGAACTGTGTAAAAGCCCAGATTCTCGTTGCTAAGCAAAGCTTCAGGCGATTCAGACTTAAGCTGGGTCGCCACTGTCGGTGATGATATACAGTTTAGGGACACGGGGATCCGTCAGAATACAAGTCCTCCCAGATGATTCCGATACTAGTTTATCGGCAGGCTCGATTGATTTTGATCCATGGACTGCTTGGCACTACATCACCTCTGTCCTCGTTGAAGCTACACAACTGTTGTTTTAAGGTTTTGGAGTAGCCTTTGAAAAGGCAAGAATGTCAGAATGCACTTCATGAAGCTACGACTCTTTTCAAAAAAAAAAATCTGGTCGGCGGGACCACATCAGCTTGTCTTCTAAGACAGCCGACTAGGTCTTGAAAAAGTCGAACGTGGAGCTCACGGAATGGTTCAAGAGACGAAAACTTCTCCGAGAACATGCGCTGCGTCTTAGGCGGCATTTCTTGAAAGTGCTCTCTGATTCTGTAAAGGAGAATACGGGAGTAAACTTAGATAGTAGAACGGAAAGCTGTGTCAATTACCTTTCAAAAGCTGCTTCCTGTGTGAATTCCCCTTTGCTCACCTTATATAAGGTATCGAATAACTAAAAGTTAGCGAGCATCGGGAACAGAACGAGAGAACGGACGAGCTGTTTTTATAGTCCGCGATTTGGCCAGCGAGCGCGCGAGCGACCGGGGGCGGCGCTTGCTCCGTGTTTACAACTGAATCCTGGTCGATACCGCCAGACGAGTAGTCCCCCGGCCGGCTCGCTCGCGAACTATGAAATCCGCCACGCTTTGTACTTACTGTGTGCACGAATAGCGCTGCATACGAATCCTGTCCAGAATCTTTCTGAGCTCTTGCCACCAGTTCTTCATGGTTTTCCCTTGTAACCTGGAGGATCGACTGATGAT